CTCCCTTCAAAGGCTCCTGTGGAATCAATAAGAGACCCTCTGTCCCAGAACCCAGGGGGCCCAACTTGGGCCCCTGAGGGAGACACTACTGCAACTCCCCATCCCTCTCTTCCTCACTAATTTTTAGAGGATGCAGCCCTCCCCAAGCTTCCCTTGGGATGTTCAGACATGACCCTCAGAAGCCTCCTGCCAAAATGTACTGAGGTACAGAGGAGGTGAGGCTAGGGGGTCACACAATACCAGGGCAATAACAATAGCAATTAATAATAATAACAATAATACATAAAGGTCCCATTGACTTGTCTCCTGCTGTGTGTCACGACCTGTACTGAGCTTTGCACAGGTTTGACGTCATTATCACATAGACCAAGCAGGACTCCTCAGCTCAGCGTCAGACTAGGCGACTTGGGCTCGTACAGACAATACCCTCGCCAAGAAACCCCACCCATCGGGGTGGGGAGAGCTGGGATTTGAACCTGGGTCTCACTCAGAAGTGAAACCTCATGCCATCTCCCTGTGATTCTCTGAGGGGAATCTGCTCAGGCCCTCCATGAAAATGCCATCCCAGCCCACCCATGCCTCCCCCCAGGCCTAGGGATCCAGGGTCTCTGAAGGCAGATTCCAGAATCCCAGGTCTCAGAAGGCAACCCCCAAGTCTTCCTAATGACCACCAAAGCCTGAGAATCAAAGTTTGTGTTTGGGGACAAAGGCAGGAAGGAAAAACAAAATGCAGTTTCAGGGATGGTTCTCAAGCTCTGGGGTGGGGAGGGCGATGGGGAGGGGCTTGCTCCAGAGGCCACAGAGCCAGTGGTGGAGCGTGGGGTCCACAGGCCGACTTCCTGTGTCCTGTGTGGCTCTGCTGGAACTTTTTGGCACTTCAGTTTTCTCATCTGTAAAATGGGAGTACTGGATCCAGCCACACAGGTTTGTGGTAAGGATGTTCTGGGTTCATGTCAAGCCCTTAGTGCTTGGCACATTTCAGCACACAATAAATATCACCAGTGACCCTCACATCATAAATTCCTGTGGCTGAAAACCTACTGTGTGCTGTGCCCAGGCTGACGGTTGTGTATATATAATCTCAAAAGCCCAGAGAGGGGCAATCTCTGGCTGGAGACCACAAAGAAATCACGACGTCTGGACTTGGACTCAGGTGTGCTGAACCCAAAGCATCCTTTCGGCTGCCCGGATGGGGTGGTTATGGGAGGAGTCGCGGTCACAGAATCCTCTTACCTCTGCCAGGCACCGCACTAACCGTGTACACCTGTGTGACCCTCACAGCTATCCTGAGAGGAGGGATCCAGTGAGACCACATGAGGTATAAAACCTAGGGTAAGGAGTCTGGGTTTGATTCTGAGGATGGAGGGAAGCCAGTGGAGGGTTTTAAGCATGATCTCATTCTGTTCTAGAAAGATCTCCATGGCTGCAAGTGTGGGCCAGATGGTGGGAACAAGGGAGGAGGAGGGAGGCCTGAGAGGAGGCTGTGATGGCTCAGGTGGGAGGATGGGTCAGGGTGGGGCCGAGATGGTGATGAGAGGCAGCAGAAGGTGGCCGCTGTAACTGAAGACCACAAACTTGGCTTAGCTAACAGAAGTCTACACTCTCAGAGCTTTAGAAGCCAGAAGTCGGACATCAGTATCACCGGGTTGAAATCAAGGTGTCGGCTGGGCCCTACTCCCTCTGGAGGCTCTGGGGGATACTGTGTTCCTTGCCTCTTCCAGTGTGTTCCTTGGCTTGTGGCCAAGTCCCTTCAATCTTCAAGCCTCCTTCTTCACGTCACCTCCTCCTCTGTGTGTATGCATCTGTTCCTCTGCTTCTCTCTTAGAAGGAGACTTATAAGTGATGGTATTTAAGGCCACTTGGAAGTCCAGGATACTCTCTCCATCTCAAGATCCTTGACGTCTCAGGAGCCTTTGATCCTGCAAAGACTCTTTTTCCTTATAAGGGATGAGGACCTGGTAGCTTTGGGGTGCCATGATTCTGCCTACCACAGCAGAGCAGGCAGCATTTGTGGCTGGATGATTTATGGAGCATGAGGGTAAGAGTGTGGAGTGTGAAGAAGGATTCCAACCTCTATGGTCCAAGCTACTGCAGGGATGGAGTCACCATCGCTGAGAAGGGGCTGGAGTGGGAGAGGCAGGTTGGGGAGAGCCCTGGAGCCTGGCTTCAAAAGTGGAAGCACTGGGTTTGAGATGGACATCGGGCATCCAAGTGGGGCTGCTGGGTAAGCCTGGAGGTTCAGTTAAAGAGAGAAATTGGGGGGGGGGTATAGCTCAGTAGCAGAGTGTGTGCTTAGCACACATGAGGTCCTGGGTTCAATACCCAGTACCTCCATTAAAATAAATAAATAAACCTAATTACCTCTCCCCCCCAAAAAAGAGAGAGAGAGATTTGGGTGCATAAAGTGAGGCTGGATGAGCTCCAGGGAGTGAAGCAAACCAAGGTGGAGACCTGGGGCTGGCCATCAGTGACAGATCCGGAAGATGAGGAGGAACCTGCAGGGGTACTCGGAGGAAGTCAGCAGGGAGCCTGGAGGAGACCAGAGAGGGTGACCAGTGTCTCAGGAGCAAAGTGAAGAAAGCATTTCCAGGGACAGGGGTTGTTTGCCAGGCCAATGCAGCCGACGGGTGAAGTCAGAGGAGGCCTGGGATGTGACTTAGATAAGCACAAGGGAGACCCTGACAAGGGCACATCCGAGGAGCAGGAGATAGAGGCGAGGGTAGAACGGGAACAATTGATTGGGAAGGGCGGGAAAGAGAACTGGAGACCTCTCTAGTGAGAAACAGTGTTGTAGCTGGAGAAGGTCAAGACAGATTTGTTTTGTCCTTTGTTTGAAGAAGGAAGAAGTTACCATAGGTTTGTAAGCCAGCGGCAATGATCAGGTATGAGAAGGAAAGGGGACGGAGGAGCATTGCTGGAGCCATGACGGAGACAAGAGAACATGCAGGAAGTCCTCCAGTGGAGGTTGGGCTGAGGGAGGGCTGATCATGGCGACAGGAGGAGCAGGAGGCGTGGGCGGAGCTGCTGCCAGGAGACAGGAGACCGAGAACATTCTCTTCTATGGCTTCAGTGAAATAAGCTGGGAGCAGGGATGGGAGAAAAGAAAGAGGACACTCTGGAACAGTCGATGGAGCGTGAGAGGGTGACCAGACAGCGGGGACATGGCAGGGCGGCCCGGCAGCACCGAGGACCCCTTGAGGGGCCAGTCAGAAGCTCAGAGTGAGAACTTGAGTTTCCTCCCGCTACGCTCCCAGATCAGGGCTCAGGCATGGAGTAAACGCCAAGGTTGGTTTAACCAGGTTGAGAGTTTCCCAAGTGAGAATAACAAATAAGGGAGGGAGTTAGAGGTGGATCCAAGGGAGCCATTTTGCTTTGTTTTGGTTTTTTGGTGAAGGGAGATAATTAGGTTTATTTATCTCCTGGGCTTATATCCAGAAGGAACCCTACTTCAGGATGACACCTGCACCCCAATGTTCATAGCAGCACTATTTACAATAGCCAAGACATGGAAACAGCCTAAATGTCCATCAACAGATGACTGGATAATTAGGTTTATTTATTTATTTATTGTTAGAGAAGGTGCTGAGGATTGAACCCAGGACCTCATGCATGCTAAGCATGCGCTCTACCACTTGAGCTATGCTCTCTCCACTAGAGGGAGCCATTTTGATGGGTAACCACACACTTGTGGGGCTGAAGGACGGTGAAAAGGGAGTCTCATTAATGGGACTGTAGGTCCCGTCAGAGTTGGGATGCTGGAAGCAGGGTGCGGAGAGGGAGAGGGTGGATAGAGACTGAGAAGCTTGAAACTGAAATTGGAAGGGCCGCAGTTATCAGGGGTGGAGGGAGGGCTGCAGTCCGGCAGAGGACCAGCTCACTGGAAGAGAGGCCATGGGGTCCAAGGAGCATCTACCTGGACATGATGATTGTGTCAGAAGTGAGTGGTGATGGGGGGGGGATGGTATCACTCAAGTGGTAGAGTGTGCTTAGCATGCATGAGGTTCGGGGTTCAATCCCCAGCACCTCCCCTAAGAATAAATTAAAAAATAAACCTAATTACCTCCTCTCCCTGCCCCCAAAGAAGAAGTGAGCGGTGAGCCAGGTGGAAAATGTAAGAGTCTATGATCCCCACAACAGCAGCCTCTGACTCCAGCGCCCACCCCGTCCAACCCTTGGGAGGCATCTCTAACCAGAAAAGTGGGCTTGGGTTCTACTGGGTGGGTGGTCAGGTTTGGGAACTAGATTTGCTGCTTCAGCTCCATCAAAGACCCACATGTGAAAGGTAAATTGATAAAGTGAATAGGAAAAAAAAATGTGGCCTACTCTTGCCACTTAGGAGCAGGAGAAAAAAATTTTTTTTTATCTTTCAAAAGAAAAACAATAAAGTAAAAAATAATCAATTCATTTGCCCCCCCAGAAGTCAAGAATTTCTTTGGCCAAGTCTGAAGTGTGGAGGGGAAAGGTCTTTTTACCCAAGGGGGCTAGATCAACTGGATATGAAAATGAGAATTTAAAAGAAAAAGGAACATCAACCCTTACTCAAATCAAACATAAAAATTAACCCAAAATGAATCCTGGACTTGAATGTAACACCTAAAACTATAAACCTTCTAGAAGGAAATAGAGGGAAAAAATCTTTGTTACCTTGGAGTAGACCAACATGGGGTCTCATGACCTAGGTTTTTCAACAAACAATTGGTTTTAAAGACAAAGAGGGAGGGGGTGCTCTTTGCTTTTGTGTGCCGGGCACCAGTGTGAACCTAAGCATCCAGCAGAGTCCATGGGCCCCTGTTCGGAATCAAGTTTATAAAGGTGTAAAATGCACAGGACTGCAAAGGAAACTCATTGTGTTAATCCAAAGTTAGTTAAAAAAAAAAGTGCTATAGTAATATATGTGCCTTTTAAAGAAAAAGACCTGGCTGCAAACCCAATAACTACCATAATTTCTGAGCAGTGCTGAGTAAAACCAGTGTTTCAAGATATCTGCAACCACTGTGATGTGCTATGAAACATCTGTGATTTATTTTGGTGACAGAGTCCTAGGTTCTGCCAACAGTACCGTGATTCGTTGCCAACATTCGTAATTTACAGAAATATTTAATGTCAGTTAGCAGTTCGTGAAAACAAAGATGCCATTTTTTTCCCCACCAAAGGTGATAGACTCCAAGAACTCTGGGCCCCTTGGAGGTCCCAGGACTCCAGCTTAAGAACCCCTGCAGATTAAAAATGCAGCGTGTACATCTTGTGTAGTTCCTGATTTGAACCAACCCATTTAAAAAGACATTTCTGAGACAACTGGGATATTTAAACAGAGTATGTGTTACAAGATAGTGAGGAAATATTGTTAAGTGTTTGGTCTGATAATGGCATTGTGGTTACGATTTTTGTAAAGTCATTATTTGGTTGAGATAGATAATGAAGTGTTTGAGATAGATAATTACAGGCAGGGTTGGTTGTGTGTGTGTGTGTGTGTGTGGCTTAAACTTAGGGTTCGTTTTAAAGTCTTACAACTAGAGGGGAGTGAGGGAACTTTCTGAGGTGATGGCGATGTTCTATTTCTTAATAAAGATTGGGGTTACACAGGTATAAGCAGTTGTCAAAATCCATGGAATTGCACACTTAAGGTTTTACATTTCTCAGTGTACAAATTTTACCTTAAAAATAAGTAAATAAATCTTGAACTCTAGGTAATGGGATGCATGTAAGTTTCCCAGGGCTACCATAACAAAATACCACAAACTGGGTGGCTTAAAACAACAGAAATTTACTCTCTCATGGTCCTAGAGGCTAGAAGTCTGAAATCAAGGTGTTCACTGGGCCATGCTCTCTCGAAGCTTCTAGAAGAGGATCCTTCCTTGCCTCTTTCAAGCTTCTGGTCCATCCCAGGAGTCCCTTGGCTTGTGGTTGCTTCACTGCAGTCTCTGCCTGTCTTCACAGGCCTTCTCCCTGTGTCTCTGTGTCTTCGCACGGCTGTCTTCTCATAAGGGCACCAGTCATACTGAGTTAGGAGCCTCTAGCGTGACCTCCTCTTAACTAAGTACATCTGCATCTTATTTGGAAATAAGGTCACATTCTACAGTACTGGGGGTTAGAACTTCAACCAGGCTTTTTGGGGGGACAAAATTCAACTCATAATCATGTGCTTGCTAAGCTCCAGTTCTAACCACCCCTTTGAGTTACTCATCGCTAAGTACTCGCATGTGTATGTGTGACGCCCATGTTAACACACTTCTGTTTGTTTTTCTCTCGTTAGTCAGTCTTTTGTCTGTCTCATTTATAGGGCTCCAGGCAGAGAACCTTGGACTGGAGAGGGAAAACGATTTCTTTCCTCCACTGCAAGTCCAGGGGACTCCTTGAGATGAGAAAGGTTGGAACTAAGAGTCTGGGAAGAGTTCACAGGTCAGAGACCTGGAGAGTAGAGAGCTGCTCAGGGAGAGGTCAGCAGAGACGCCTCTGAGTAGTCAGCAGGGCGCTGATCAGTGAGGAAACGGCCTATTTCATCTGCACTGTACTATCCTGAAACTACCGGCTACCTGAAAGGATTAGAGAACAGCGCCCACACTTACCCAGGGCCCCCAGTAGTGCCTGTCCCCACCAGCCAGACTGGAAAACCTCATCCTTCATGGGGTGGTGAGTGAAATACTCAGGAAGTTCCTGCCTCCGTAGTGGGAACAATTAGGCTTAGACGGAGCACTGCTCAGAGCCCACCTCAGACAACATGAATGTAAAACCCCAAAGCATCAAACTGCCTCCACGTCACAACCCAGAACAAACCTCGACAGTACTCATAAGAACGCAGAAACTAGTCAGCACTCAACAAGGCAAAACCAAAGCTCACTGAGCATTCAGAGAAGCAGCAAAACATGATGAAATTAATCAGGAACTGAAACTGACCCCAAACTGACACACATGTTAGAACTATCAACAAGGACATGAGAACCATTATGACAACTCTGTTCCATATGCTCAAAAAGTTAACTAGAGACATGGAAGATAAACAACAGACCCAAACTGAACCTCTTGAGATTAAAAACTACAGAGGATGTGATGAGAAAAATTACATTGGATGGAAATAAGACAGATCACACATTGCTGGAAAAAAAGACTCCTGAATCTGAAGGAGAAGCAGTCCAAAATGAAACATATGGGAAAAAAATAGAAAAAAAAAAGAAAAGAGCATCACTGAGCTGTGGGACAATTTGAAGCAACCTAATATATAGTGAATATGAGTTCTCAAACAAAGGGGGAGGGCAGAAAAATATCTGAAGAAATGATGGCCCCCAAATTTCCAAATCTAATGAAAACTATAAATCCACAGACCCCAAAAGTGCAACCAAACCCAACCCATAAAATGTGAACAGAACTATACCAACACACCTGATCATCAAATCGCTCAAAACCAGCAAGGTAGAGAAAATTCTTAAAAGCAGCCATAGACTATGTGAGGCAGGGCGAATATAGCTCAAGTGGTAGAGAGCATGCTTGGCATACACAAGGTCCTGGGTTCAATCTGCAGTATCTCCTGTAAAAATAAATAAATAAGTAAACCTAATTACCAAAAAACAAAAATTTTTTAAAAAGTTTAAAGGAAAAAGCAGCCAGAGAAAAAGACATCTTAACTACAGAGGAATAAAGATAAAAACATCAGATTTCTTGTCAGAAACCATTTGAGCAGGTGAGCAGTATCTTTTAAAGTATTGCAGTTAAAACCCCAAACTGTCAACCTAGCATTCAATACCCAGGGAAAACATCTTTCCAAAACAAAGGCAACTAAATGGAATATTATTCAGCCATAAAAAGAAATGACTTACTGATACATGTGATGAATTGGGAGACCTGGATGAACTGGGAGAGTACCAAGTTAGGTGAAGTAAGACAAGCCTTTTGAGCAGGTACTTCTGGTGGGAGCCACCAGACAGATCAAAACGAACAACCATAATTCTTTGAGAAGGTCCGTTCTGCTGCCTCCAGAACCAACAATACAGGCTGTTGTCTCCAAGGCTGCTGCTGCTGACCTGGATGGAACCAGGGTAGGTTAAAGTGCACACAGTTTTTTCACTGGGACTCAGTTATTTTTTTCTGTGATATGACTTTGCCACTGAGCCATCAAGAGTTGGAGTCTAGTTCCTCTCCCCGTGAATTTGGATTGACCTTAGCGACTGGGTTGTAACCCACAGGTTGGGATGGATGTGATGTTGCATCACTAAGAAGGCAAATTCCAGAGAAGGCTTGTGGCTCCCACCCTGACTGCTTACAACACTTTCACAAACCTCCATGCTGGGAGGAAGCTCAAGTTATGCAGAGGCCACATGACCTTTATGTCATTCAGCCCAGGCACCAGACACATGAGTAAAGAAGCTTCCAGATAACTTCAAATTCAGCCATTTGAGGCACCCCCAGTGACACAGATTTTCCTAGCTGGGGTACCAGACACTGTGCAGCAGAGACAAGTAATCTTTGCTGTCTGTCTGAATGCCTGACCCACAGAATCATGAGCATAGTAGAAGGGTTGTGGCACCATCTCACTCAGGGCAAAAGAACAAGATCCTCATGGTACCCCATAAAGCACCACACAGTCTGACCCCATCATCTCTCTGATCTGGGCTCCTCCCACTCTCCCCCTCACTCACTCTGTCCCAGCCATAGGGCCTCCTCCACTGACAATCCAACAAGCAGTATACTTCTACCTCAGGGCCTTTGCACTGGCTGTTCTTTTTGCCCAGAATAGTCTTTCCCAAGTTGTCCCCCTCCCTGTCTCAGGTTCTTTGCTCAAATGTCCTAGTGATGCTTCTGACTCCCTGTATTAATTTCTGATGACTGCTATAATGTGTTACCACAAACATAGTGGCTAAAAACATCACAAATCATCTAATAGTTCCGGAGGTCAGAAGTCTGAAATGGGTCTGATGGGGCTAAAATCAAGCTGTAAGTGGAGCTGTGTTCTTGTGAAGGTTCTAGGGGAGAGTGTGTTTCCTTACCTTTTCCAGCTTCTAGGACCCACTGACCCTCCTTGGTTCATGGCCCCTCCTCGGCTCATGGCCCCTCCTCCATCTTCAAAGCACAACCTCTGTTTCCATCCTTCCATTTCACTTACTCTGACCCTCTTGCCTCCTTCTTTGAGGATCCTTGTGAGTTACACTGGGCCCATGTGGATAATCCAGAATAATCCTCTCATTTCAAGATCCTTAAGGAGGAAAGTGTGGGATGGGAAAGGATAACTTGAGAGTAGGGGATTTGCAGATACTAACTACCATACATAAAATAGATCAACAACAAGGTCCTCCTGTATAGCACAAGGAACTATATTCGATATCCTGTAATAGTCCATAATGAAAAAGAATATGAAAACATATATATATATACACATATATATGTATAACTGAATCACTATGCTGTACACCTGAAATTAACACAACATTGTTAATCAGCTATACATCAATTTAAAAAAAGATCCTTAATCATATCTGCAAAGTCCCTTTTGCCATATAAGGGAACAAATTCACAGGTTCTGGGGATAGGATGTGAACATTTTGGGGGGCCATGTTTCTGTCTACCAACCACCCTATTGAAAATTGCAATCTTCCCTACCCAAGCACTTCCAATCTCTTTGTTGTTTAATTTTTTTTCTCTTTTCCCCCCTCGGCTTAATTTTTTCCATAGTTTTTATCACTTTCTAACATAGTACATAATCCACTAATTTATGATATTGCTTATTATGGGCTTTGCCCTGCTAGAGCATTGGCTCCTGAAATACCCTGGCACCTGGGATAGTACCAGACACGTAATAGGTGCTCAAAAATATCATGAATGAGTGAATGGGTTACTCTCCAGAAGACTGGACCATGATCCACTCCCACAGGCGGTGCGAGGGCTGCCATGTTTCCCAGCGCCAGGTCCAGGTATTGATCTGACTCACTCACTGTATTACCACCTACTGCATGCATGCTTTCTGGGCTGTTCTGTTGGTCCCTGCCTTTGCAACTCCTGCCAACTGTATTATCCAGCTTTCTAAATTTTGTCCCATCAATAGATATTAAATGATATCTCATTGTTGTTTTAAGTTGCGTCTTTCAGATTACTATTGATTTTAAGAATTTCCCAATGTGCTGGTGAACAGTTTGGTTTGGGCTTCCTGACCTCATAATTCTCTGCTTGTGCCCCTTGCATATTTTTCTATCATGGTTGCTATCTTTCTTTTTTTTTTTATTTTGGCAAGGGGGAATTAATTGGGTTTGTTTATTTTTTTTTTCAATACAGGTACTGGAGATTGAACCCAGGACCTCATGAATGCTAAGCTTGCGCTCTACCACTTGAACTATACCCTTCCCCACAAAGGTTGCTATTTTTCTATGCTGATTTGCAGGAGTTCCTAGTAGCTTCTGAATTTTAATCACGCATCCATTTTAAATGTGGCAAATATCTTCTCTCATTCTGTCCATTAAATACTAACTTTATCTAGGATGTCTTTCCTTGAAAAGAGACTCAATTTTGATATGAGCAAATTCATCACTTTTTTTTTTTGCCTTCTGGTTTATACTTTAGAAGTTTTGTTTTCGAAGTCTTTCCCCACCCTGAATTCACTGATCCTCTTATCCCCAGGTGCATAACAAGCTGCGCTAGACTTGGTGGTGTGAAACAGCAAGCGTTTCCCACATTTATCTCTCACGGTTCTGGGAGTGACTAGGCTTAGCTGAGCAGTTCTCACTTGGGGTCCCTCATGCCATTGACGCCAGATGGTGTCTAGGCCTGGAGTCATCTCATCCAGGCTTTCTCACTCACAAGTCTAGTAGTTGATGCCAGCTATTGGCTAGAACACAAAGCCTCTCCATGTGCCCTGGGCTTCCTTACAACATGGCAGCCGGATTCCAAGAAAAAGCATCCCAGAGGAGGCTGTAGCTCAGTGGTAGAGTGTGTGTTTAGCATGCACAAGGTCCTGGGTTCAATCCCTAGTACCTACATTAAAAAAAGAAATGAATTTATTTATAAATTATAAATAAACTTAACCCAAAAAATAAATTTTAAAAAATTAAATTAAATTAAAAGAAGAGCATCCCAAGAGAGCCAAGCTGAAGCCTTTTATGACCCAGCCTGAGAAGTCACTGTTATGAACTGAAATTGGGTGTCCCACCAAAATTTATATATTGAAGCCCTAATCCCCAATGGGGTGGTATTTGGAGATGGGGCCTTTGGGAGGTAATAAGAGTTAGATGAGGTCATGAAGGCAGGATCCTGTTTGGATGGGAATTGTGTCCTTATAAGAAGAGACACCAGGGAACTTGCTCTCTCTCTTTCTGCCAGGTATGAGGTCACAGTGAGGAGGCAGCTGACTGCAAGCCAGGGAAAGAGCCCTCACCAGAACTCAACCCTGCTGGCCCCCTGATCATGGACTTCTCAGCCTCTAAAACTGTGAGAGAATTAATTTCTGTTGTTTAAACCACCCACTCTGTGGGACTTCATAATGGCAGGCTGAGCAGATTAAGAAACTCACCCAGCATTACTTGCAACACATTTTTTTTGTTAGAAATGTGTCACTTGAGGCTGGTCCATTTTCAAGACAAGGGGGATGAGACCCCACCTTTTGATGGGAGATGTCTCAAAGAATTTGTGGACATATCACTGTGATAGCCTCCCCCATTTTCTTTTATTAACTCCATAGTTTAGGTCTTTATTTCATTTGGAGTCTACCTTTGTTTATGGTGTGAGGTAAGGATGCTTTCCCCCCCTCCATATAGAGAGCCAGTTTTACCACTGCCACAATGAATAATCCATCCTTTCCCATGGAATGGCAGTGTCACCTCTATCATTTTGTTAAGTCCCTAGACATGCCAGTGTCTGCCTGTGACTCTATTCTGTTCCTTTGCTTTGTTCATCTGTTCCTGCCTCAATACCATAGTTTTTATTAACATGGCTTTGCCATGTAGCTTAGTAGTTGATAAAGCAAGCCCTCCCCTCTTTCCTTTTTAATGTTGACTTAGTTATTTGTACACCTTTATTCCTCATACAAATTTTAGAATAGATTTTATCGGGGGGAGGGTATAGCTCAGTGGTAGAGCACATGCCTAGAATGCATGAGGTCCTGGGTTCAATCCCCAGTACCTCCGTTAAAAAGTAAATAAAAATAAATAAACCTGATTACCTCCCCCCCAAAATAAATAAAAACAAAGTTAAAAGAAAAAGATTTTATCAAGCATCTCAAAAAAATCCATCCAGAATTCTGATTGAGATTGCTTTGAAGTTATCAGCTGATTTGGAGAGAACTGACATGTGGCTAATATTCAGAGATCTTACGCAGAGGCATGAGTGGTCTCATTTTTTTTCAGATTATCTTTTATATCCTTTATAGGCATATTAATGTTTTTTTCCATCAAGGCCTTATGTATATTTGATTAAGTTATTAGGTAAGCTATAGTTTTGGTTGCTACTGAGGACCCCACCAGTTGTTTAAATTGTGTTTTGATTGATTATTACGGAGTTACTGAAATGATATTGATTCTTTTTTCTTTTTTAATATATATATTATTTTATTCATTTTCTCAAACCCTTGAGTCAAGGGCTGACTTTCAATAATGATGATTCTTGTAGTCTTATCCTAAATCAACCATGATCCATCCTTCATGAAGAGCCTTCCTACTCTCTTTATTATGAAAGTGAGAAGTATTTCTAAAACATGTTGGCCAATCGTATCATCAATGCCAGTCCATTTCTAATATTTATCATTCTAATTAGCAAAGCCCCTGGTGTTGATCAAAGATGGGTGAGTACCTTGCAGGAGCTACCTCTCCAGTCAGTTCTTAAACGCTAACTGACCAGCCCTGGAGTAACTGACCTTCGGGGCGTAGCTGAAAACCAACTCATATAGACAGGAGGGGGCGCTGAGGCCTCACTTCTATTCGAGGAGGGTTACTGTGCACGGAGAATGTGGCCAGCAGGAGGCGCTATTATTGGGCAAGCACCTACTGTGTGCCAGGCACTGTGGCAGACATTAGGAATACAGCCATGCCTAAGGAGTTAATATTCTGAAAGCTGGGGGGGGGGATGGACAGACAATAAATTAAACTAATACATAATTAAATTCTGTGAGGAAAATAAATTATTGTGACAAGATAGTGACGGGGTGGCTCCGTAGATGAAGGGCTCAAGGACAGCTGACCAGAATTTCATCTAAGTGATGAGGGACTCTGGGCGGAGAGCTCATGGCAGAGGAAACGTCCGTGGGTCCTGGACGGGAAGAGCCCCGTAGGAGTGAAGGTGAGAAAGGGGATAGTAGCGCAGGTGAAGGGCAGAGAGGAGAGGGATGAAGGCAGAGTGATGAGAGGTGATGGGGCGGGGAGTTGAGGGGGGCACTTTGGTTTCTCTTCAGAAGCCAAAGGAAGCCTGTGAAAGGAGCAGGGTGAATAGAGACTAAGGTGAACGCGAAAAAGCATTATTTGGCTGCTAAGTGGGAAACAAGACCATAGACTCTGGGAGATAGGGTGAGGTGAATGTGGCCACAATGCCAGGTGGTGTGTCAGGCACGCTGTGCCCCTTGTGAAACTTCCTTATCTGAGGGCCTGTGATTCAGCATTCCCAAGGGACATCTTACTGGCCAGGGATGGTGGCTGTAAGGAACTAACTGTCCAGCCCTCCCTGCAATGATAAGGGTGATAACAATGCTTATTATGTGCCTGACACTAGTCTATGATCTGTGCATTTAAACCTCACAACCACTCTGGGAAATGGTACTATTATAATCATCTTGATTTTACAGATATGGAAACTGAGGTACAGAGAGGTTGAGTGACTTGCTCAAGATCACATAGCTAGGAAGTAGGTCAGATGGCATTTGAATCCAGGCACTAACCCTAGAGTCCATGATCTTACCTGCTATAGTATGCTGCTTCCCAATCCTTTGGTGGTAGCCTTGCTCTCAAATTGTATTGCTCTTTAGATAATATCTCAGTGAGCCATCAGCAGTCATTAACACCTCAGTATAAATTAGTCCACCTTTTCCTGCCACTGAAGAATAGCAATCATCGTTATGGTTTATTAGAGACACTATAGTGTAGAAGTAGTTGGGTTCTGGGGTCATAACGCCTGGGACTGAAGCCCAGTGCCACTTCCCAGCTGAGTGACCTTAGGCAAATGACATCACTAATCTGGGCCTCAGTTTCCTCATCCATGAAGAACCCATTTTCCAGATGAGGAATCTGAGAAGCCCAGCACATGGCACACCCAAGACTTAGCTTGAATGCCAGAAGGAGAGATTCCTCCATTACATTCTCTATTCAGTTGTGTGGAAGGAGGGGGCGCTGGGAGCCTGAGGTCGGTCTGTCTGCATGGGGACAGCAAAGTCACCTGAGGGCTGGATGGACCAGGTGATCATGGATGTCCCTCTTCTTCCAGGTCAGCTTCTCTTCCTACCAGCCTGGAGCTCAGACCCCTGGGATGGGTGCCTGATCCTGGCAGGGCTGCTGAGTGGCACGGGATGGGCATGGGGTGTGGGATCCCTGTTTATTCAGTAGAGGCAAGGTGGGAGATGTGCTTTGCTCTGGGGGAAGGTACCCCAGCTCTGGCCCAGCCCCAAGCCTAGCACAGCCACAGCCCCACTCCATCCCCTGACCGTACACAGCTGGGACCATTGGCCCCAAACAGACCTACTGTTTAAATAATGAACTCCTTCCAGTTTTTGGTAAACAGCTACTACCCACTTCTGAAATCCTAGCCCTTCCCCTGAAAGTCTTCAGGGCCCCCTTATACTCCAGCATGAGCATGCCCCAGCCCAGGGGGCATCCTTGAGCCATCTCTGGGGGACTTGTCCACCCTAATTGGTAAGTGGGCCTGCCAATATTTGGTCTCTTCCCTGGCTCAGCCCTAATGTCAATTCCTCCACCCACCAGTTCAGAGTCCTCAGATATGGGTACCCATTTCACACAACCCCTATGCATCCTTCAAAGCCTTGCCTAGGGAGAGGGTATGGCTCAGTGGTAGTGTGTGCCTAGCATGCATGAGGTCCTGGGTTCAAACCCCAGTACCTCCATTAAATAAATAAATAAATCTAATTACCTCTCCCACTAGGGAAAAAAAAGTAAAAATAAAACCCTGGCCGAGATGTCACTTTATTTAGGAAGCCCTCCAAGATTTCTTCACCACCCGACAAGTGAATGGCTCCTCCCACACCCTGGGCTCCCAAGTATCTTGGATCATTTCACACATTTTGCTCTAAACTTCCATCCGCAGGCTCTTCTTCCCCACCAGTGTGTGAGCACCTGGATGCTAGGGACCACCTTCTGCTCATCTTTGTGGCCTCAATACCAATGGCCCTATTAAGCATACAATAGGTGCCCAATAAAATCTGCAGAGTAGATGAATGGTTTGTTCATGTGCGCTGTGGTTATATCAGGCACATTCCATCCTGTGCATCTCCTGTGGCCCAGAGATCACAGGCGGTCACCCCCACAGGAGCCCCCCTAGTGCCACCCACACGCTGAGGCCCTGCCTGCTGGGAGTGGGCCAAGGCTGGGGGGAGGTGGACAGGATATGAGTCCCAGGGGTGTGAGGTCAGCAGGGCCTGTTCTCATGCTCTCTGGCTGCAGAATGACTCTCCATCTGTCCGGGAGCCGGGGTGCTTGGACCAGAGGAGAAGCAGCCGGAGAGAGGGAGGCGGGGGGAGGAGCTCAGGGCTGCTCCCAAAGCAACCAGGAGAGGAAAAACAGGCACACAGTGTTATTGTTACAGAACCATTAAATACAACTTACAAACAAGCCAGGACAGTGTTGGGGGTTGGAGGGGACGGAGAGGGAGGGAGGGTGTCACAGAAGCCAGAGAGGGTCAGGGAGGTGCGGTCCGGGCACAGTCCTGGAGGGGGCTCAGGCTGCCGTCACCAGAGGGACTGGGTTGGCGGAGGCCTGGCTGCTTGTGGAGGCCTCGCAGCTTCACCAGCAGCTCCTGGACAAAGTCCTGAGGACAGAGAGGGGGCATTGAGAACAAGAGGAGGGGCGGGCATTCCCTGCCCAGCCCAGCCCTTTGGACCTGGGCCCCTCTTTCTCCCACTTCCTGATCAATGAGAAGGGGTGGAGGTGGAGTTAAGGAGGGGTAGAGGCTGCAGATGGAGAAGGATGCAAGGTGGGGAGAGAAAGAGACAGAGACCAGAGACAGGGAGACAGAGATGGAGAGAGAAAGAGACTGAGATATGGATGCAGGGACAGAGAGAAACAGAGAGAGATGCAGAGAAAGAGAGACAGAGGGAGAGACAAAGGAATAGAGAAAGAAACAGAGCCATAGAGAGACATTGAGACATATCTTAGGCTAAGAGATCACCAGGAAGGTCCCTGGGGACAGAGGCCTGAGCTGGCTCCAGGGCAGACAGACACACAGTGACGTTTGTCCGATAGGCAGCCCAGAGCTGGTTAGAGAAACATGAATATTTTTCCCTTTTAAAGCAGAGAAGGAAGTGGGAGGGGCTGGGCCGCTGAGCTTCAGAGCCTGAAAGGATGGAGGGCCCCCGGAGAGGTGGGGAGGGGAGCCCCAGGGTGGTGGAGGCTGAGCCGGCCGACAGAGCACAGCACAGACAGAAATAGGAGACAGATGGGGGAGCGTCTCAGCAGGGAGGAGATAATGGAGTCCCCGTGGCAGATGGAGAGAGAGGACAGGAGTGATGAAGACAAAAGACACCACTGGAGATGGGGAAAGGGCTGTGAGTGAGACAGGGCTCCCCAGAGTTCCCTCTGCAGGTCCTGGGCACCGCCAGTCTGCCCTCCTCCCCGGAGACCACCCCCCCACCCCAATCAGGATCCAGAGGGCAGAAGAGGGCCTGTGATGGGGGATGGAAAACTCACCTCTGTGGGGTTCAAGCACGACTTTAGGAGTCCCTAAAGATCCCCCGCATAAAAAAAAAAAAAAAAGGAAGAAAAGAAAATAAGTAAATGACTAACATCTAGGCCCTTCCAGCCCCTTCCTTTTCTCAACAAAGCCCCACAGCAGCAAGACAAAATGGAAGTCAGACTCCAGGTGGACTTCCCATGTGGCTTCAAGGGAGGAACAAGGCTTGAGGGTCTTATAGAGCAACTGGGGGCAGGGTTGAGTCAAGAAACTCAGCACCAGGACCAGCGCTAGATCCAGAGAGGGCCAGAAGGTCACACAGCGTTTCCTGCCTCTGGGAGAGCACAGGCCTAAAGAGCAAGGACACTGCGTCCAGACCACCTGGCTTGGACTCCCAGTTGTGCTCTCTCTGAGCTGTGTGACCCTAAGCCAGAGACTGAATCTCTCTGGGCCCCATCTTCCTTATCTGGAAAATGGAGATAATAGCAGTAACAATGAAACGGAGATAATAAACCCTTCTAGGGTTTTGTGAGGATTAAATGAGTTAATAAGTGTAAAGCAATTGAAACAGTGCCTGGCACATAGGACGTGCTAGATGAACACATTAACCGTGGATGTGATTTTTAGGGAGGTGCAGGGGAGAGGGCTGGGGGTGGCTTTCCCTTCCACCTACTTGGATTTTCCGGCTTCTCTCCTCTTCACTCTCTAGTTCCAACAGTTCATCGATGTTGACCTCATCAGGCATATCTGCCTCCTAAGGCCAGGAGGGAAGGGTAGTCAGGGTCCCTCTCCCCTCCCTTCCCCGCCTTTGTCCAGGGCTCTGAAGGAGCCCCGGGGGCCCCAGGGCCCAGCTGGCAGGTTCTGGAGCAATAATGTGGCAGTCAGGGACAGCACCACCAAGGCGGGACATCTGGGTGTTGGGGGGAGGGATGACAGATGGGTTGACAGAGGCCCGGGAGCCGGTACCAGCTGGGATGCTGGCCTCTGGGCCTTAGGAGCCTCAGATGCTGGCACAGGTCTCTCCTCTTGGCCTCAGTTCCCACAACGGGAAACAGGCCTGGTCGAGTGTTGGAATGTCTGATTCTGGGATTCAGGAGAGGGGCTGGCTCTGCCCTTTCAAGGGAAAATTTAAGCACTAGGTGCAGGGGAGGGGAGCTGGCAGGCCAGAGCCTGCTAGGGGTGGCCCTTTACCCCAGGGGACGGGGAGGGAGGGGCGTGCTTGGGCTAGCCCCCAGTGCCAAAGTGCCACCCTTATGAGTCCAGGAGGCCCTACAAGGTGGGTAGGTGGGTGGGAAAAGCCATGAGCCCAGCTCTCAGCAGCCAAGACGGGGACCCTTGTATGGCTTCTTGGGGCAAAGGGCCAAATACTGGCTGGCTTAGTACCCCTGTAGGGGACAGAACCCAGCTGTCTGAGCAAGAGATCCCAGAGACCATTGATTTTTTTTGCCTCCCCTACCCAAAGTCCTGCTGACTCTGCTGTGGACTTCAGGACTGGGTGGTCCGGGGATTGTGTATGGAGACAGGGCTCTGGAGTGTCCATAAGTGTGTTACCCGCCTGTGTGAGTCTCTGGGTGTGAGCCAGAGCCTGATGCCAAGATGCCAGCATCGGCACGAGGGTGCCGAGGGACGTGACATTCTGTGCGACTTATACAGGGACTACCGTCCTATGGCTTAGCTGTGTTTGCCTTACCGCCATGTGTCATTGTATCCTACGTTCATCAGTAAGTGACCACAGGGTCACTTGGGTCCTGGAGAGCCTGGTGAGCTATAGTGCCCGCTATCTGAGGATGACATCATAGGAAGCCACCTACAACTAGCAACTGCCCTCTGTGTGAGGCCACTCAGAAAATGAGTCTGAGAACAGACGGCCCTCATGTCATCGCGAGGGGCCCAGGCTTCTTCCTGCTTCGTGCTGTGCTGACAAGGCTCTGTGGTCCCGTGTGTCTGTGCACTGATACCCGTGACTGTGTTCTGCACATGGGTGTGTTGTACAAAGTGTGACTTCGAGCAGAGACTCAAGAGAAAGGTCATGTCTGTCTGTCAATTATGAGACAACACAGAAGGCTGTAGCTTATGCTTCTGTGTGTCCTCGGGCAGCTGCAGTGTCTGCCACTGTACGTCGGTGATGCCCGTAGCTTACGCGGTTTTCTGTCTGGGTGTAGCTATAATTTCTGTTATTTTATGTCTGTGCGTGGCTGCAGCATCTGTCATTGCGTTTACACGTGATTATCGTTTTTGCTTTTGGGAGATAATGGATGGTCGTTACTTGAATCATGGGGTGTCGGGGTAGCTGTCCTAGCTTGTACCGTCTGAGTCGCTACAGCTGGTGCTGTGTGTGTCTATAGCTCCAGAATGGCTGTAGCTGGAGGCCTTTTATATGGGTGCCGTTGCTGTGTTGGGTCTGCATTTGGCTGTGGTCTGTGCTGTTGTGGCGGTGAGAGCCTGTGTCTGTAGCATATGTTGATCTGTAAGTGACCACAGCTTGTGTCCTGGAGAACCTGTGTGTGGCTGTTGCTTCTGTCACTGTCTGTGAGGGGCCACAGCTGGTCACTGTGCACGTCTGTGAATGCTGATGCTTCCTTTGCTGTGTGGCTCCATGTGATTGTATCTTCCCTGTCACCGTGTCTATGTTTGGCTTTAAGACATCCTCCTCCCCGCCCACCCCCACCCCCGTCCTTTCTCCAGATATGGCCACTCTAGCTCCCTAACTTTGCCTGCTCACCTCCCATATGCTAAAACCCTGGCCCTCTCCTGATGTTTGGACCCAAGCGTGCGTCTCTGTGTGTGCAGAGTGCCATGGAAGGTGGACGGCGGGGCCTATGAGTCCCAGGGTGTGCGTTCTGCGCAAACGAAGCTGCGCGTGCAGCAGCGAGCACAAGCAACCAGAGACCCCCACCCAGGCGTAGGGAGTTGGGACCCGGGGTCTGTGGGTCCGGGACTCCCCCCTGCGCCCCCCACCCCTCCTCGCCTCACCCTGCCGCGGTACAGCTCTTCCAAGCGCCCGTCGATCCACTTCTCCACGTCCAGCCGCCGCTGCAGCTCCCGCCGATCATACTTGACGGTGACACGCGCGTGTCGCTTCTGCAGACCCCCGGGGCTACCCCCAGGCCCGCGGGCCCGCGATGGAGACTGCAGCTTGCTCAGCACGCGCTTGCCCAGCCGCTGAGCTGCCATCGCGGTCCTGGCTCCGGCCCCGGCGCAGCGCTGTGCGCTTTCGCCTCGCGCC